GTATCAAAATGACGCATTTTCCAACTGGTTACGTAATTAGCTATTTGAGTCAATCAATGATGATGCGTGTCATACGGGTGGTGCTCCTGATGTTGCGAAGAATCATTCAGGTCGTATCCTTCCCAATATAAATTGGAATAACATGCGAATTTTGAAGGGAAAAATGAGAAGAATGATATCCCTTCTTAGCTTCCTCATCCACGGATTGATCCACATGAGGCAAGAAATTCTCTGGCATATTCTCGAACCCATTTCTTGTAATTTTCATCTGCCTTGAAAAATAAATAATGGGAAGAATGATATTCCTGCTTGGCCTCCTCATCCATAGATTGATCCACATGAGGCAGGAAATTCTCTAACATATTCTTGAGCAAAAAGATTTGTACATGTTTAGAGTACATCATAGTCTTTGAGATCTCTCTGGATGTTTCAATTGAGGTACCAATAACTATCACAATTTCGCGGTAGCGTTATTGATAACTGTCACACGATTTCTTGTGAAGTTAAACTTTTTGTTCGAATCAAGTATAATTCCATTCATGATTGTGTTTCTTTCGAATTTAGTTCTATTTGATCCAGTCTTTTTCCATATAGTATGAGTTGAGTCATCCGCATACATATAGACATCAGCAGTACTTCAATGAACGATTGTTGGTGAATTTTCTATATAAATGATGAACAATAAAGGTTCCATAATCTTTGAGACCTCACTATCGTGTGATATAACAATAGTGATACCTGTTATTGAGATATGTTTCAATGAGACTGAGAAAATTGTCGCCAATCCCGTCTTTGTGAAGATTTTTCTGAAGTACATTATGAGAAACACTAAAACACTCTTTGAGTATAGCAAGTCTCCCAAATTATCGTATTCTACAGGCAATATCTGGCTTATTTGACAAGATGATACAAAATTATTAAAAAAACTGCTTCGAATAGCATTCATAACGACTTGTGAAAAGATACAGGGTATCAATCACTTCTACAAACTTCAAAGGGTTGATCTTTGACTGATTCCAAGATAAATGAATATGGGTCCGTAACGGTTGGTTTTTTGGGATACAGAACGTCAAAATCAAAGTATTTCATTCGAAGTATGGGCGGTGGTCATTTTCAATAATTATCGACTAGTTCAGTCTTAGTCTTGTGAATGATCTAAGTTTTATCTGTTAATAATAATAATAATAATAATAATAAACGGCTGGTTTTAGCGACAAATACTTAGAGTTCCTTTTGTATGTAAAATTAAATGTATAATGGGTTAGCTTAGTCACAAATGATTCACATTGCGTGATAAAATAGTTGTGGCTAATCAAATCCAAGTACAACCCTGTAATGTGGCGCCCTCCAACATCAATAAAACTAGTATCCCGAATTTCTTCAAATCGCCTTGCTATTAACGAAGATATAGTCAAAAAACCAAATAAAATATTCTGGATTCACTGAATCTTCAAAACCAAGATGTTGTTCATATAAACTTTTCTTCTTGGAATTAGTCACAGATTGACCCCTCAAAAGTTTGTACAAGTACTCTATGAACACCCTGTATATTACATTGGACATCCATGTTGTATCTACCCCTCACATTTTATTTTCAAATGACCCCCTCAGTATCTTGTCTTGAAAACTGCGTGTCATTCTATGTGGAATACAACGGTATCACATGCTTGGTAATTGTTTATCACTAACAATTAACAAGATCATTACATTTTGTGACTCTTTTTACGTTACTTCGATGAAAAATTGCCTCCGCCCATGTTTTTGAACACCTCACAGAATATAAGTAGATTAATTATCACACTATAGGTACCGTCAGCAAATTATGATAATAATAATAATAACATTTATTGATCCCAAGAAACATACAATACAAAAAAAATAAAATAAAATATGCAATACAATGAAAGATACACAGTTCAATCAGAATTAATTGATACAAATATATTTCTTCAGTTCACACTTGAATATTGTGACGAATCTAATACATTTTATTCTGTTGGGTAGACTATTATAAATATTTATTCCACAAAAATACAATGATTTTTTCCCGAATTGGGTTTTTATTTTAACAGTTTTCAAATTTTCACTTTGTCTGGTGTGATGCTCATGGGTATCAGAATTGATAATGAAAGTAAGATTCAAGTGCTTTTTCTTATTTTTAGTGAAATGAATGAAGATGCATACTTTCATTTTGAAGAGAGAGTCAATATCTAGTAGATCTCTTGGTTTGTATAGTCTAGATGTTGATTCCAGAAATGGTAGTTTATAAATACATTTTATGGCTTTATTTTGAAGAGATTTCAGAGGTTTCAAAACAGATTTTGCTGCAGTACCCCAGATCGATATCAGATACTGCAATTTAGAGTAAATCAAACTGAAATAAATTAATTTCAAGTATTTAAGAGGTATAAAAGACCTCAATTTGTATAATATACCAATAATGGGAGATATTTTTTTCCTGAGCAATTGAATATGCGATGACCAAGATAGAGTCTGGTCTATAGTTAAACCTAAGAGTTTGGAGTTTTTTGTAGGATTTATACAAAAATTCCCGAATTTTAACGGATCTATTTGTTTATCAGGTATAACTCTTTTCGAAATGAAATAGAATAACTCTCATTGATTTTCGAATTCTATTCTGTGTAGTTTTTGAAGACATGGGCGGAGGCAATTATTCATTTGAATAATGTAAAAAAAAATCAAAAAATTGTTAAATAAATGTTTCTGTTTTCATTTATAAACATAATACCAAGTATGGACTACTGTTGTATTCCAAATAGAATGAAACGCAATTTTCCATGACAATAAATACGGAAGGTGCAATTTGAAAATGAAAAGAACGGTACCTACTTTAATGCCATCCAAAGCAGCTCTGTTATTTGTCAATCATCTCGCCAAATGAGGGATCTAAGAGAATTGATATCAACTACAAAACAATCCCGCTATTCAATTTTTTTGCAGAGATACACCGAATCTACAAGAAGTGGAGCTCAAATGTCACCCCAACGTAGAGCGATGTCGTCACCAGTGAGGAGGGGTGTCAGGCCACCTACTTTCACCTCTTCAGGATATGATTCGTCCTGCATGCAGGACTGCACTGAACCTTGCCAGCAGTCCAGTATGGATCCCACTATGGCTCGATGGCACAAGAAACTAAGGGTCCCATATCAATGATCAAACAATCGATATAGATTTTATCCCAATAAAGCTCCAATGTGTGAATTACTTCAATATTAAAAAAATATACACCAATAACATCGCATTTCGACCATATGAATGAAGATACGGAAGAATGAACTGGTTTGACTTGGATCTGACTCTCTAGAGTATTTTTCAGATTTGGAGTCGGACAATCAACATTGCTCAGATCACTTTACTATAAAATATTTAATAAAATCTGCAACCACTTGAGAAGTCATTTCCGCTGAGATATTTATTTATTTTATTTATTTATTTATTTATTTCAGTTATTGCATTACATTCTCTTCTTCATTCATACATTTCATACAAGTGCGAAAAGTGGAACTTTTGATGATGATGATCACATCTCAATAATTGAGCGACTATAGAAATTGTGTACACATAAGAAAGTCATCATGACTGGGCATGGAGTAATGGGTGGCGGAAATTTGATCGAAAGACAAATGATAGAAAAACATTTGATAGAAGTCTTTTGATCGAAAATCAAAAAATAGAAAGAACTTTTTACCTAAAATACATTTGATCGAATGTTTTATGAAAGAAAATATATCTGATAGAAACATAAATGATAGAATATACAATTGATAGAAAAAATATTTGATCGAAAATACACTTGATAGAAACAGCATTTGATAGAAAATTCAACAGGGCTACGCTCATATTAGGTCAGTTCGTTTGTGAAGATATGATCCTTCCTCATATATTTGAGAAGAAGGAGCTAGAAGTTTGTGGTATCAATAAATTCATAAGCATCGATTTCCATCTAGCTCCTTCTTCTCAAATATATGAAGATGGATATCTTCACAAACGTATACTGACCTAACTTGAGCGTAGCCCCGTTGAATTTTCAATCAAAAGATGTTTCTATCAAGAGTATTTTCTATCATATATTTTTCCTATCAATTGTATTTTCTATCATTTATGTTTCTATCAAATGTATTTTCTATCATAAAACATTCGATCAAATGCATTTCTATCAAGAACACTTTCGATCCAAAGACTTCTATCAAATGTTTTTCTATCATTTGTCTTTCGATTACATTTCCGCCACTCATGGAGTAATATATTTTCATACTATTTTTTTGAAGTGCTCATAGGTAAATTCAAAAGTGCATTCTTTTGCATTCAAGTTGTTTATAAAAATTGAGATATTCTAACTGAGAGATCGTTCAAATATTTCTTTTTTGTGTTCAGGTACTGTAAGTAAAAGTAGTCTACGGATATTGAGATTATGAATTTTAGTTCTGTAAGAGAGTTTACTATGAAGATATGGTGGAGTTTCGAATTTATAGAAGTTTGTGGTATCAATGAATTTATAAGCTTCGATTTCCATCTAGCTCCTTCTACTCAAATATATGAAGAAGGATTATATCTTCATAAACGTACTGACCTAACTTGAGCGTAGCCCCGTTGAATTTTTTATCAAATGCTGTTTCTATCGAATGTATTTTCAATCAAATATTTTTCCTATCAATTGTATTTTCTATCATTCATGTAGAAGAAACATTTGTCTTTCGATCAAATTTCCGCCAACCATTTCCGACTTCAACATACTAGTATGATGTTCATACCAGTATAAGCATCACAAGTTTTATTGAGTCGTAAAGGTCCACTGGTAAAACGGTTCACCATTGTTTTTTTCTAAATATTTGAACATTGGAAAAAACCAAAAAGGATCCACAACCAATATTTTATATGAAGGTATTGACTTTTATAAAAAAACAACGTATATCTTGATGAAAAATTTTGTGCGTTAAAGGGTTAAATAAACATGAAGTAGGGTACCAATAAAAAACACGTTGAAGACAATCATGTATTTGATACTGATTGAAGAGTAACAATACTTATTATCAATTAGAAAAATTGTTTGCACAACATAATTGATTCTCCCAGTTCATTAGTCTTCTGCGTATTCAATCTATTTCAAAAGAAACATAGATCGGACAGTTTCAACAAGTGCTTTGTATAGTTCAGTTTTCAGATTCTTGGATGTTATGAAGTCAAAGTGGTTCCAACGGGTATTATTCATCATATTGAATCCATTACGAAATCGGTTTGCTATTTCTGTGTACGTTTTCTGAGCAGGCTGAAAAAAAAAACAAAAAGGGTATTCCGGGTCTTCATATTTCTCTTAGTTCAACAAAAATGACTTTTCGTATGTATCATTCTAGATTGCAGACGAAATGCCGAATTCGTAAATAATTGAAGGGATATTAGAGGTATCAGGAATTACACTATGAAATCAATGCATTTATTTCGTTCTCCGGCTACTTCTTTATGTTTTAGTCAAACACCTCAGACTTCTGAAACCAATATTGAAAATGCTCACACCGTTTAGACGTACATTATTTTGGCAAGCACCTTTTGACCTTAATAAGGAAATTATATTCAGAGCTTGAAAACATTTTTATTCTTAGTATTATATTGAATACATACTATCTGAAACTTTATCATGCAAGTAAATTTGAACTTGTTTTTTGTCTAGATCTCTGTGAGGAGAGTTATATTCCTAACTAAAGTAATTAATGATTTATACAATAACGTTTTCAGATTCTTAGATATTATGAAGTCATCATGGCACCAACGCGGCAACAAAAAAAAGCCATTCTGGTACCTGCTGGGTAAATCTGAGTAAGTCTTTCTTGCGGGCTGAAAAAAATTCAACAATTTCACAACCTTTCCCTGAGATTGAACGAGGCAATGAACTATTCCAACAACCTATTAGCATGGATTAATCTTTGCTATCAGTTTCCAAGTGTATGCATATGTTAATTCTGATAAAAGTATCGAAATATCATACGATGAGAAATGATCATTTTCCAAAACCAACACGGTTCATTCAGTAACACAATGAAATCTTCGATGAACTGATCATAAGGAACAGGTAAGTTGTGTTGGTATGATCAGGGCCGATCCTAGCGGGTGTGCAGCGCGTGCCCCGCACGCGGGTGGTCAAAACAAGGGGCGGCCGCAGGCCGCATATTGTCCTATCAAACAAAATTATTTGAAACTCATAAGTCGAATGAATATGCTGCATTTTGAATAAATAAAATGATAGTAAATAGTGTGTTGGTCCATTGTCAATTAATGTCTACTTTTTATACACATTCTTATCTTCCCAAATTTTGAATTTCTATTTGAAACAATAACCAAGGGGCATATTTTTCAGACGCCTCAGGATGTTTTGTTCCATCACTGTGCGGTAGCTTATTTATGCATTTCTACTACTTACTAAGAGACTATGAGAGAAAATCCCAAAAAATCTGGAGAACATCCATTTGGTTAAACTACAGACACCATTTAAAATACTTTTCACTTGCTCTTCTTATTGTTCTTATTTTCGGATTCCAGATCATTTTATATCAATTACAATAAACTGTAATATACTAATGTGATGAATTTGAATCCCACCAAAATTTCGCCTGCGGCGCATATGTTTTGCCATAGGAAAATTTTGTCTGAGTTTCTTGGCCGCTCCCGGTATGCACTGAAATGGAGTTATTACCTGAAAGCATTTGACCTTGAACTCAGAAAAAATTCGCCTGCGGCGCATGAAGATTTTGTCTACATTTTTTTTCTGTGTTTTACTTCTTATCCTTGTACAAGTAGTTGAAGTTATGAAGTCATCAGGTATTATAGTCAAAAAATATGAAAAATTCTCTAGAGGGGCGGCACATTAGGTATAGGCACGCGGGCGGCCGACACCCTAGGATCGGCCCTGGGTATGATTCATGTACAGGTACAGGCTGTCATATTTTCCATGTCCTCACGGAATATCTCACTTATTTTTAGAGACACAGATTCGCGGTTTTTGCAAACGTTGACTATACTTTATTGTGAAACTGACGATACAATAAACAGAATTTCCATAGCACTCTTCGTTTTTTAGATACAGGGCGAAATCGAAAATGTTGCATTTTGGGATCCCTCCTGTATCTCAGCAATCCTTCAACTTATTGAAAAAGAAAAAACTGTCACTTATACAGTTGTACTTTTGATATACTTTTATTCTGAGCATAGTTATAACAGAGATTGAACAAATATATCCCTCATTCTCCAAATTGTATGGTAAATATGATCTATTTAAGTGAAGACACATTCCTAACGATATTGAATAGTAGATTGTAGAGTGAATTTTTGAGATTCTTCGAAGTTATAAAGTCGAAGTGGTTCCAGCGTGTATTATTCAGCAAGTAGAAGCCATTGCGGTATCTGTATGGTAACTCTGTGTATGTTTGCCTTGCAGTCTGAAAAAAATTTTATTCATTCACAACTTGCCAATAAGATCGATGGCTGCAATCAGAGCCAACACCAGTTTGATATTGAATCGATCTTGAGCTACACATCTATGAACATTGCATCTCCATTTAATATCCCGTGTATTCGACTCCAATTGTTCAACCCGTAGCCCCTTAATGTATAGCCAGTTTATTCAGAAATTGTCAGCAGACTAACAACGACTGATGAGGGCATAAAGAACCGAAACAGTACTATTAATATTCCACTACTTACTGTCAAGGGGACTCTATTCACCCTGAATATCTCATTAACGACATTTATCCCAATGAAATAGGAGAAGTTTTTATCAATAGCGGTCAGCGAGGTGATTCTCAATATATCGTGTATACAGTGTGACCCATTTCTAATGGAAACGCACCCTTGTATCTAACGTAATCGTTGGGTAAGGATCCTGAAACTTGCTGGAGCGAGAGATATACCAAAAATGCACTCCATGACCAAGTGAGGTCATCTTTAGTGATATACAATGCTCGCCAACAGACATGGAACCACCCCAATTCCCAGAAAATTATATTAGGAGTCAAAATAGGTTGAAAATCACTACGGATTCGGAATAAGAACGCCCAATTCACTAACTATTGATAGTTTTCCCATAAAATGTTCAGTTCAGAAAAATTGAATTTTGTCTCACTCCTCATGAAAGCAACCCCGTATCTCACGTAATTATCGAGGTAGGGCTCTGAAATTTGCAGGAGGCAGAGAAAGAACAAAGATATAGTCAATTACGTGACATACGGAGGTGCTTCCGTGTAAAGTGCGACAAAATTCAATTTTTCAGAACTGAAACTTCCAGGAAGATTATGGATAGTTAGTCAATTGGATGTGCTGATTCCGAATCTGAAGTGATTTCCGACCTAATATCCTCCTAATATAATTTTCCGAAAATTGGGGTGGTTCCATGGCTGTTGGCGAGCAGTGTATCACTGTAGATGACTCCACTTGGTCATAGAGTGCATTTTTCATATATCTCTCGCTCCAGCAAATTTCAGGATCTTTGCCCGACGATTGCGTAAGATACAGTGGTGTTTCCATTAGAAATGGATCACACTGTATATAAACATATATCACTCGGTATATCATAACTATAATGAATCATTCTGTTATATAGGGGAAAAATCTGGGATCAGGGCTTACACAAATTGAATAAATTATTGTGTGGTCAAAACAACACCCTGTATGAACAAATTTTCGAAATTTACTTTGAAATTTGGAAACTGCACAAAATATAGAAACAAATAACGGTTTCATCAGTTTTGCTGCGAAAAATTGCACTACCCAACATTTAAATCTATCGGATTTCGTGAACACATCAGCAAATGACACTTGTTGTCATCGGTAAATACCTTGTCAGATCATTCTTATGCTATACGAATTCCCAGGAAAGATAATGAAATTAATCTATATGACGTCGAATTACTATGTACTATCAGTAAACAAAAAAGTAACCTATTTCCAACAAAATAGAAACAAACAGAACCAATATTCTCATAACAAAATAATCATATTCCTAATTTTCAATTTGAGAATACTCACAAATATCACAATATACAGTTACATAGGTAGGTACTTGTAAGATTTGAGTAATTATTCGAAAACCAGGAACGAATAGAAAAAATGAACTATAAAAATACAAAACAAATAAAGAATAAAACGTAAGAAACACACTGTTGGCACAGTCTGTTGGTTAAAGAGGTAGATATGAAAAATCCAATTTGATCTGGATCAGATGAAGTATTGTCCTCTTTTGGTTTATTTACATATCATGAGTACCTATATGTGAATTTATTACTTATTTTATAAAATCAATGTATAGAGAGATATCATGCAATTCATAGGGTGCATGTGATTAACTAAAGATTAATAATATTATAGGTAATTATAATGATGAATAAGTGTCAATAATATTCTTCAGCAGCTCATGAAATTTTTCGGTGGATCAGTAGATCAATATGCAAATCAGGAGATCTGTAGAACTGGTAAACCTACAGCGGACGAAAAGTACTTGCCCTTGGAAAAAGTCGGTTTTTCGAACGGAAATAAGAATAGGTAACGTAAAATGCGATATTTTTTAGAAGTCGACGAAAAAACGTGCACTATCCTTTAGGAAACCAACAAAGCATGTTTTTCCATAATTCCGTTCGTATAGCGGAATACTGACCTTATTTTTCTGAAAATTCTAAACAATTGTTAATATTGAAGGGTTCCGCTTTGTTTTATTAGAGGGAGAACTCTCAAAGATTAAGAGTCATTCTTGAGCATTTTCTTGAGGAGAAATTCTCCTGGAAGTACAGTTTGCTCCGTTTGCGTTGATATAATAATCACATCATACCTTTTCTAGAGCTACACGATCATTTCTTCCCACATACATCGTCACCGGTACTGGAATCAGATTCAACCTGTATGGAGGAGGTGTTGGAGATCCATACCTTGCGAGGTTGCCTTCGTTACCGTAATCATACCACTGGAAATTTCCTGTTTTCCTCAACTGGTCAGCGTGTTCCAGCAGATTCACTCCAGCGCTATCAAATACGTTGGTCAAAAAGACTGGATAGGTCAACTGAGGAATGAAAATCAAATATAATTATTGGAAAACTCGATCGAAAATTTCAAAAATTACATCATTCGACCATTTTGCAAGTTTGTTAGTACGGGGGATATTCAAGTGATCGTTGTATACATTCTGTGATTGATTTGCGATCATCAAACAATAGTATTAAAATCATTACATATTGGAATATTTTGTTCAGAAGATCTCAGAACTGAATTCATTGAATTCATAAATATAACCATGAAACCTTATGAGATAATTAATATATTATAAGACTCCTGTGATTGAAGATCAGGAGTTCATAAATTGAGATATAATGATTATATTACCGTTTATATTGATATCGGTATTGAACCCAATCGTTTGATTGAAAATATTTTTCCACGGTTGATTCGAACTCCCCTTCTTCCTTTACCAATAATATTATTGACTCAGACCATTCTCTCAATGTCTTTAACAATTCTGATATCCTCCATATTTGTGTACTAGACTCAATCTCCTGGAAACCCATGAAATTCAAAAATGCATCAAGAACCAAAATTTCTCTTGCCTCAATGATCAAACTAATTTTGAACGCAATCATATCTTCCGCACATTACGGTTGTCTGAATTTTTTTTTTCCATATTGACACCCCCATAGAATCTTGCTGCCTGATGAATTGTAGGGATCAATTCCTTCTCATCTTCTTCTTTTATTTTTCGTTCTTTTCTTTTCACACTCTATTGCTCCATTTTTTTATTCTAACTTTCTTGGGTCTCCTCCTTTTTTTCCATTTTCTCCACCAAACTTCATTTCATTTCTTTTCTTCTTTTCTCATTCACGAATCTTCTCTCAAGTTTTCTTTCTTTTCTAATCTAGGTTGGTAATATTGCGTCTTCCTGTCATACACCACTCATGTTCGTTACTTAGTGTGTCAGCTTGACAGATTGTTATGTCACGTCAATTTTCATTATTTCATTTTCCGAATCAATTTTTCCAGTCTTAGTTTTTCAATGTTCAACTTCATCAGGGCCGCTTCAAACGTACTTCTACCTGACTTACTTTGATGGTCAACCCAATGATGTTTATTTTTTATGATTCATTGTGTCTTGATGAGGTTTGTTTTTCCTGTGACAATTAATTTTCACAATTTTACATTCATTATGTATTTTTGGTATTGCAGTCTGATGATGGCCCTTGTGCCGGAACCGATTACTATTCAATTGACTAATTTTTACATAAAGTGTGGTCAACTGACTTTGAGTATTTATTCTCATTGACAATCCCGATGTAACCCCTCATTCAATGAATGAATTCTTTGAATCCATCATTTTGCATGAAAGAATATGCAATTGCCTCTAGCGATATAACTGACTTTCGATTTTCAACCTTGTAAAAGAATTCCTGCTGCAACGCATTTTTGTTCGCTCGATAAACCATTTCGTTCTACCCCCTTACCAGAAGATGGTGAAAAAAAAATCAAAACTGCATCATAAGTGGAACTCCGAATGGAAAAGGCTCTTGCTGTGTCAATGCAGGAAGGGGCTGCTCTGAACCAGTATGGACTTCTGTTAAGGACACTTGCATCAAGATTCTTTATTTTATATATATGATGTCATGAAATAGTTGAATCAGGGGTTGAATGATTAGACAGAAAATACAATAATTCAAATCATTCAATTCCTGATTCAACTATTTCATCGCATCATACATAAAATGAAAAATCTTGATGCAAGCATAGATGCAAGTGTCCTTAACATCCTTCAACCTCCAACCGAAATAACTGATGCACAGGCCGAATTAGCGTGGTATTCTTCGTCTTCAGTTTCAATGTTCTTACATGACCATCACGACCTGGGTATACTTCTAAGATTCTAGCCATATTCCATTTGTTTCGGGAGTTGCTATCTGCTACAGCTACAATGTCGCCGACTTTCATATTCTCGTTAGCAGTGTGCCATTTCGGTCGTTTTTGAACTCTCAGTAGGTATTCCTTCGTCCACCTTTGCCAGAATCTATCCGCTAAACATTGCGAAATCCTCCATTGTTTTCTGCTATATAAATCGCCAGCCTTGAAAACTCCTGAGAAACTTTGTGAATTATATGGTCATATAAAGAAATGAAAGGGTGTTAATGCCTCTATTTCGTCAGTTGCGTCACTAGAAATATAGCTGATCGGTCTCGAATTCACAATACTTTCAGTCTCAATCAGTAGTGTACATAATAATTCGTGGAAAGGGTGTTAGTTCTTTCAATATTACATGAAGCACCTTTTTCACGGACTGGATTAGTCGTTCCCATCCATTTTATATTCAATTTAGATAGTTTCTCTAAACTTTTCTTCATAGACTTCAAATGATCAAACATTGTATTCAGATCATTCTTATTTACTTACCGGATCCATTTGACTGAAATCAAATCCACCAAATACGCCCAGAATAGCTTGAGCCACAAACATGGTAATCGGAGTGAAAGCCATAGTTTTCATTCCTTGGTTCAATATCAGGTTTCGTTTCAAAACTTCGCCTCGCAATAACCTGTATATAATTCTCTGAAAAGAAAGGAAAAAATTAATCAAAATTCGATTATTGAGATGAACAACGTCATACACCTGATCTGAGCTGTAACTTGAAAACTCTGGAAAAACAGTAGCAATTGTAGTTTTAACCTATTTCAACTTTAATGAAACTCCCCTAGCTCTACTGACATTGTTCTCTTGCTTACTTTTATGAAAGAAATAACCGGATCAAAGTATTTCTGGAATGGTAATCCACCGTCGATGTATCCAATTGGTGCTAAAGAGATAATCCCTTTCAAAGTTGTTCCTGCATCAACTGGTCTAGTACTGGCGTACACATAACTTACAGTAGTACCAGTCGAGTATCCGATGTATACGCTTTTTTTAGTTGTGATGCGTGTAATATATGTCAGCGCTGCTCCCAAGTCTAAGGTACCTAGTTGATGAAAGCTGAAAAGGAAAATATTAAAATGGGATGATGATGCAGTTTAGTGTAGAATATCGAGGGTGAGCAAAGTTACATTAACGGACATGAGGTACCCAATGAGGTCCGCAATGAAGTTATTTTGGAGTGCATAGAATGGTAGTGTCACCTGCACAAAATGTTAAGAGATCACATATATCTAACAGGAAAAGGTCGTTAATATACAGGTGAAAGATATATGGACCTGAAACTGAACCTTGAGGTAATCTCCAAGTAATGTTTAGTAGTCCGTATGAATGGTCAGTTTCAACCAGTTGGTTTCTTTCTGACATTTTTTTTATCGCTTGGAGCGCACGAAAGGGAATCCCTATAATGTTCAAAGAACATCGTGCGTTCCTAGGGAGGATAGGGATAGGAGGTGGGTATTGGAATTTTTTTTGAACTTCTGGAGATTATATGTTGTTGGGAATACTTCCTCAGGCAATGAATTCCAGAGCCTAGCCGTTCTATGGATGAAGGAGTTTTGATAAAGTGCTGTTCGACATCTTTCGAGGTTGACAACGAAAGGATGTGCTGACTGGGCTTGTCTAGTTCGTCTGACTGGTATTGCTAGTGAAGGGATGATAGCAGAGATTTCCGAAGCACATTTCCCGTGGAAGTATCGATAGAAAAGTGAAAGGTCGCCGACCTTTCTACGGTGTTCCAATGATGTCAAAGAGTGAGTGAGTGTGGCGTCACCCACCAGGCGGATGGCTCTTCTCTGGATGGAATCTAAGAGCATCAGCGTATGTTTTGGTGCTGAACCCCATATGTGGGAACAGTATTCTAGAACAGGCCGTATCTGCGCTTTGTAGATCATGAGAAGCTGTTGAGCTGTAAAGTAGCTTTTCGCACGGAACAAGAATCCGAGTTTTTGTGAAGCAGCTTTTGCGATGGATCTGACATGATTATCCCATGAAAGAGTGTTGCTGATGGAAATACCGAGCATAGATATGGTGGGCTTGGTGGAGATGGTGGTGCCAGACATAACAATGTCGGGCATACTGAGTTCCGCCTTTCTAGAGAAGATACAGGCTTGAGTCTTGGTGGCGTTGAATTCAACTAGGTTGTTGGTTCCCCAGGCTGTGATTTCAGCAAGGTCTTCATTGACAGCATTGACCTGCCTGCGCCGTGAGTTCTTAGTTTCCTGGGAAGAAATGGGAATTTTGGAAGAGAACGCAGTATGGAGGGTACTATCATCTGCAAAGCTGTAGATAGGGCAAGTTGTTACTCCCAACAGATCATTGATATGAAGAAGGAATAATGTTGGTGCCAAAATTGATCCTTGTGGAACGCCGGAATACACCGTCCACCACCACATGGAGCGATCTGCCTGAAAGAAAACTCGATAAGAGATGACATAGCTGAGGTGGTAAGCCGTATGATGGTAGTTTGTGGAGGAGTCCTCTTCGTGCCAAACACGGTCAAATGCTTTCGATATGTCCAACGCGACAGCTAGAGATTCCCCGTGTTTTTCTAATGAGGCTTGCCATAAATGGGTGACGTAGGCAAGTAGATCTCCAGTAGATCTTCGGTGGCGAAAGCCGTATTGTCTATCATTGATGATTCCTGAGCTCTCCAGATATTTGATAAGCTCAATGTTAATGGCTTTCTCCATCACTTTGGAGATTACTGATAAAAGGGCAATGGGTCTGTAGGTGTTGGGCAGGTTCTTGTTCCCTTTTTTGGGGATTGGTTGGACTCTAGCTGTCTTCCAGCATGATGGAAAAATACCCGACCTGTACGAGATGGTAAACAACTTGCAGAGAATCGGTGTTAATTCTGGTGCACATTTTTTGAGGATAATGGGTGGAATTCCATCAGGACCGTTAGCCTTATTCGTTTTGAGACCGAGCAAAATTTGTCTGATAGTGCGTTGACGGAAGACGATTTCGGGCATTCGACTCTCAACCGGTTGAATGTCTGGCGGCACTTTTCCTTGGGAATCTAAAGTAGAGTTTGCTGCGAACATCTCTGCAAAAATGTTTGCTTTCTCCTGCGATGTTGTTGCTAATATAATATGATTTCATCCACTTCAATGCCATGTCTCTGATACCATAGTGAGAGAGTTTCTGCAGGAATAATGTGTGATTGTCACAATCAAAAGCTTTAGTCATATCACAGAATACTGCCGCCACGTTCTTCCTCACATTGATGTTGTTGTATGTCCGTTCAAGACAATTGTACATGACATCAGAAGTATTTTTGTAGTTCCTGAATCCAGATGGTTAATCGGTAATTGATTTGTTCGCTTTTCTATTACTTTTCCTGAGGTCGGAATGAAAGAGATGGGTCTGAAGTTAGGTCGATCTTGAATGTTACCTCCTTTTTGAATAGGAATTGTCACACTCAGGAAATGTGCCCTGTCTGAACCAATCATCAATCAGCATTGGAAGTACCGTCAAAGCTAAGTCACTTCCTGATGAAAAACATTTGCCAATCAGTAATTTCACGAGAAACACTGACATGAAAAAATTGCGAGACCGTAGGTCGAGCAATTTTGCCTAATGTCAGTTTTTCGAAAGCAATAATTCCTTGCCAAATAAAGTATTACCAAGAACTCATAATCTGGAAAAGACCAATCAAAGGAATTCAATTTCGTGTACTCCAATAGTTGAAATAATGTATTCCTACCTCTGAATGGAATTCATCAGAACATAAAATTTAATCTTGATTTCAGATTCTGATATCTCACCTGAAGTCCCAATATTTTGGATCAGAAGTTGTTAAGTTCCTGTGACCTCGACTATATCTAGTTCCTCTGAAGTTCACCAGCCAAACGTCGTAACCGAGTAGACCTAGATTGTAAGCTGAAGAAATACGTATTAATTTTTTTATCCAAGATGACGAAAACTCAACAAAATTATATGAAGAGAAAAATTATCGATGTTTATCAAACTGCTATAACTTTTTTGCAGATTGAATGATTTCCGATCGCAGTGTTAGAAAAATGCGTCCTCTCTGTTTGAGATTTATTAGTCGTAACTCATGGAACTTTTCCAGTCGTGAACTACCAAGTGGTCAAAAATAAGGTTAGATAATCGAGAAAGTTTGGCAGTTTCCGTATTCCCCAGCAATTTTTTCATCCTTCTGCAAATCATCTTTCTCAAATCAACAAGTCAATATCTCGAATTCGTTATGGAATTTCCTACCTTTCTTATACAGGATGTGAGATATCCATAGTTCCGTATATTCAATTTTTTTATGCATTCCTGCTGATTCAAAAAAATCCATTCGATGTACGATCGAATTAATTCTTGAAGATATCTACCTGGCATTCAGAGCAGTAGAACTTTCAACAACAAAATAAGAATTTTTCGAATAATCTGTTCATATTGATGATACTACAATAATGTCCGTGTGAAATCATGAATTCTCTATTCAGATGGGTTGCCCCAGTCAACATCTCGGAAGAATTTCGAAATTTTCTAGATAAGTCAATTACAGGGGCCGCTAGGAGGAACTTTTTGATTATTCAGCACTATACGGAAAGCATTGAAGAAACGGTGAGTCTCAGACATTCCTGAAATGGTATGGGATTGAGAAACCATTACAATGCACGTTTCCTTCATCACTTGAAAAAAATGTCCGTGAAAAGACTATTACAAGCAAAAGCAAATTTTAGTTATTCCAACACTCAATGATATAACATTCCATCATGAATGAACTGACTTATCTAGAAAATCACAAAATTGTTCCGAGTTTTTTGTTTGTGGCAATCCAGGTGAATGAAGGATTCATAATTCCACAAGCAAATTATCGCAGCATCATCAATGTAAACAGTCGATTCCACAAAACATCACAAATTATTCGAAAAATGCTTCTTTCGATGTTGTCCAATCTTCTGCTGCCCTTAAAGCCAGGTGGATATCTTCTTAAGGAATTAATTCGATCATATTATACATATTGGTTCAGGTTTCGAGGTACAAACTGAAATATGTGATAGGTCCAATCATTTTAATTAAGAAAGTTATGATAAGGAAGAGTCCCATCTCGATCAGTAGCGGACCGTCTGTAGGGTCAAATTTTAATTATATTCGTCCATCAATTGAAATGTTTTGCTCACTATTGAAGATATCAATTTAAAATGAGATGAAGTTAATCTTTTCTAGGAAATCATGATTTTGAGGATTTTAATTTGAGGCTTCTTTATCCCCTCCAAACTTTTGTATAGTACGCCTCTAACATCTACTGGTTACCAAATAACATAAATTGGGAGGCTTTTTTGCCTGGGATGAATTAGCATATTCGATTTAAAACACGTGAATTTCATCTAATTTTTGTTATCTATTGAATTTTATTCTTAGACAAAATTTGTTAATAATATTGACAATGAAGAATAGTTCAAAATACTGATAAGGCCACATTTACCAGATGTGTGGTGGTAATTTACCATGATTCACATGTGGCTTGATTATTTATCACCTATAATGTCCTTTGTGGACCGTACATTTTTACCGATAGGTTGAATACTGAATTATTCTCCGATTTCTTCAATGACATCGAAGTAGATAACCAGTGGTTTAACACTAATTTTCCGCGTCGTTGTATTGGTTGGTTAGAATCTACCAACTGTATATCACCGCTACTGATCCAGATTGGACACATGCAAATGCAATACGCAAAACATTGCAATTTCAGTATATTTCATTGCAATCTCAACGAATTTTATCCAAGAATAGAACTCAAGCGAAACATTGACATAATCAGGTAAAATATACATGTTATAGAACGAATAGGCTTATTCATCTCGAAAACAGTTATTTCAATTGATAAAAAAAAATCAAATTTCGACCCCATGATGAGATCTATCACCCATTTCAGATTGTACATCAAAACCTGAATCACTCTGTATATACAGTGCAGTATAGTTTGAATCTCCTGAACTTTTTCAAATCCGCAGAAAGGCATAAAAAATAGATTAGATATCTAGAAACATGGATATTTCACATCCTGTATAAGGAAGATCGGAAATTCCAAAACCATTTCGAGATATTGACTAGATAATAATTTTACACTTGAAACGAGACTTCGTTTTCGAGTATTGTATTTTTTTCGTTCATGAGATGACTAATTCAGCGGTTATATGAATGAAAAATTGAAAAATATTAAAATTTGCCGTCCAATACCTATATGAGGTTTTGCGTTAATATTTTGCATAGAGGTATTCCAGCTATTCCTGAATCGAATGGACCATCGACTTTTTTGGGAAAAATTGCTTAATAGTCTGTCTGAAATGTTGACTCCTTCAACAAACAATGGTAGGCCTTGATAATCTGAATATTCCAGATATGTTCACATTTTCGATGAGAGCTCGTTGAGATTATGGATTTTTTTTTTTCACGTACGGTGTTTCCTGATTTTATTCAGGGAAATTTTTGGTGATTTCTTGTGATGTTTCATACCGAAAGTCCGTGAAAAGTGTCCAAAAACGCTTCATTATCGAACTACAGGATATTGTATTTCGATAAAGAAATCGAAATAAGAAATAAATATATCTCTGAACATCCTTTGGATCCCCCACAATTTAGCAATTAGGTTCTTTTTCTGAAATCTTTTCATATGGGTGATATCAAAGTGGAAACTAACATTTTAATTCCTGCGAAAGCTCGTATACTATCGAATGACAAGATGAAATAAAATTAGGGATCACGATAAAATTCGGAGAGATCACTTCATAGTTCTACACTGTAGTGATTTTGTCCTTCCCTCTGTACAAATTTCCGTGCGGGATGCAGTTTAATAATTCAAATTGTATTGAAATTGAGTACTCGACTTTTTTTCTGAATATATGTACTTATTTCAAAAACACCTCGTATACAAGCATAATTGGTATCATCTTATTGGATATCCAACGCCTATACCAGGTATATAATATTCAATTTCCTTTCGATAAATCTCGAAACAAATCACCACGAGAAATTCCATCTTATATGATTCTAATGATAGTTTAATCTCTATTATCCGATAGTGATCAGCTTCGACATACGTTAACATTTTAATGTATTCACTTACATTTTGCAAGTAATATTGAAAATACATCCCTTCAGGGGGCTGAAACCTTCCTCAACATATTTCAATTGCTATGGCTTTTGACCCCTCTTTGGAAAGTTGGCGAAAAGAGGAATCCAGCGCACTGATCAAATTTCAGTTTCAGGTACGTTCGAGGGTTGTATGAAATCAAAAATGTGTGAAAAAATAATTGTTTCAACACCTTGTATCATGAATACGGATGCCGTTACGACATTTTTTCACTGAGCAAACCCAACTTATTTTGCAATGTTTTACCCACCCTAGCAAGGGAGTTAGGTTTTTTTGAAACACCCTGTATATATAAATATATTGAAAATTCGCATTCTCTATGTGATGAAAATATCAATTTTTCATCGGTTTATTCAACAGAAAAAAATGAGGAAACAAACTACTTTCCCGGCTATATGCCACGATGAGCATTGAATTATATCTATTGAACACACACGATAAGAATTTTGAAACAAAATCTTCTGAAGTTGAGGATTCGCATTCTCCTTCAGATGCCAGGTCGAACATTGAATCATATCTCTTGAACATTCAAAAGGAGAGCATGGAAAATGAAAATCCTCTGAAATTGGGAATTGAAATTATTTCTCGATATTCGAAATAATAATAATAATAATAATTTATTTCCAAATTCAAAAATAATAACAAGTTATCAGCATCATTTCCAAAAGAATTGAATTGAAAACAAGAAGAAAATCCCACTGAAGTCTTTCGACTAGTTCGTGGGTGAAACTCCGTATACTCAATACTTTTTTCTTGTTTTTGATGTGAATACATGTATATATGGAATGAGAAAACATAACATTATACAACAAAACTATTATAACATAATCAGTTAAGATATTTAAACATAGATTAAATTGATACTATAGGTACGTTATTTTTTAATATAAAATTATCTAAACCATAAGATAGTAATAAATACTCACACAATACAATGAAACTTCTAAAATTACAATAAATAGAGTAGTGAAATCAGTGTAGGTAGGTGAATGTTGATCGACAATCAAAATTATAATATAAATATATAAAATTATTATATATGCAATAGTAATACAAACTCATGTTTAATTATGGTATTACTCAATTATTTTTGTATGTCTTCTACAAGTCTATGTAACAGTGACCTAGAATAATGTAGCAACCATTTTTTTAATTCTATTTTGAAGTGTTTTTCAAAGCATATGTCTTTTATTTCTGTAGGCAGCATTCTGTAAATATATGGAGCAAGATAGATATATGACTTTTGTGTATTGGATTTTTTAGTCCTCAAGGTTTGTGTTCGCTTCGATTTTTTCTGTCTAGTATCATATTTATGTTGGATAGTAATCATTTCATTTCTATTTTTGTGTTGTATCAAGAGGATTTTTTGAATATAGAGTTGTCTGATATCCATGAAACCACTTTCTTTGTAGAGATGATCACTTGAATAGGTATTTTTTTTTCCGTATGCTATTTTTATAAATTTTTTTTGAATGACTTCTAGTTGCTTCAAATGATTCTTGTATGTACCACCCCATCCCGCGATGCCGTATATAATATGGGATTCGACTAGTGAGTGATATATTGTTCTCATGCCTGAAATATTCAAAATGCTTTTGAGTTTCCTGTATCTGAAGAGTATCGATCTAAGTTTCTGTACTAAATATTTTATGTGGATATTCCACTTCAAGTTTCGATCAATCTCTACCCCTAAATATTTCAAATGATTGACTTCTTCAATGGTTACTTTTTCATCTTTCATTTTGACATCCAATGTTTTATAACTTGGTATTCTGGATGAATTGCAGCTGAACGGTACATATTTTGTTTTTTCAAAATTAATTGTAAGGGACATTTGATCAAACCAAGTTTTTATTTTTATTAAATCTCTTTCGGCGATTTCTTTCACTTTCGTCCAATTGTCGGATTCATACTGAATAACGGTATCATCGGCAAAAGACGACACAATTCCAGTGCTATTTAAGTTCAGGAGGCCATTTATGTAAATAGAGAAGAGGACTGGACCCAAGACTGTGCCTTGTGGGACCCCATATTCTATACGAGCAGCCTCACTCAATGAATCTATGAGGAAAATTGGGAATTTTGAATTATGAAAACATACCTAGAGAGTTATTTCCGTTGTAAACGAAGCTCATGGAATTAGAAAACATGCCATGGCCTAATACAACAGGTTGGGAATTTCTAGTGAGACTTGTATAAGCTCTTGACAGGAGAATGGTGTATCCATCAGGTGTGGTTATACGATGTTCTTCCGCAGTGAATTTCCATCGTCGAAGAATTTCCGTCTATAATAAGGATTATTCCTCTATCATGTCATGATCGTTACTTGCGATCAGTTAGGTATTCATACCGATTTTCAGCAAAATGATATATGAAAATATTCTTACCACATTGAGGGTGTCATCGATATTGTTGTAGCAGTCACATCCCAACACATTGAAATAAGAGATGAAAGAATTGCAGACCCTTACGCTGTTCACATTTAATGCCACGAAGGACCAGAAAATGAGGAAAAGGCTGATTTTCAACATGGTCTATATCGGAGTGAATTTTATGGCACTCACGATATATCAAGTGGCAGACAGCTGCGATAGTCAAGTCGCTTCTGATCGTTAATCATCATCATTTTGAATTTATCGAAAGATATGCTTTTTGATGATTTCAATAATTATGGAAACGACGAAAGAAAAAATTAATGGCGAAATACAAGGTTATATGGGATATTAGTATCATGAGTGTTGTAGTATTTCTGATGAAGGAGAGATAAATAGTAGGTACCTACATTAATTGGTACAATTTTGTTTCCTCCAAATGTATGACAATTTGCTTACAAAAATCTTATTGTGATGCAAGCAGCAGACATTGTTTTGAGTTAATCTGCATGGATTAATGAAGATACAGGAAAAAATTGTCTAGACCAATTCATATCATCATTTCTGATAACTCTACGAATCACAAGATATGGAAAAGCGTGGAATCTATTCTGGCTAAGAAATATACTGAAGAATCGTACTGTAACTTAGGAGGACACTGTTCATTATAGTATACAACAAAATCAGAAATGGAATTATGGAATTAGAGGATATAGATAATATTTCATTCAGAGCAAGATAATTCTATGAATAGTCTCATGGAACATTCTTATATTCTCACAGGGTGTGGTGAATTTTCTAAGAATATTGAAATGGGTTGAACAGAAGGTCCTCAGAATGATTCTCAGAATATTCTGAGAACGTCCTTAGCATTTTCAAAAATCATCCAGAATGTTCCTGAGAATGTACTGAAATTATACTCAGTCTATCCTGAGAATATCCATATTCTGAGGAGATGCATATCCTGAAGGCGTTCTCTGCATATTCTTGAAGATATAATGAAATAACATGGAGACTTGAAGGAATTTCAACAATATTACCACACAGGCATACGTACACACAATGAAATTCCATTGGATATCCACAACCCATGGGCATCTGATGAATGTCCAATCGATATTCATTCAGGAAATTTCGGATTTTCAAATAGACGTGTATTGCTCAACTATGCAAAAAATATCCCAAGGACCACCAGTGGATATCCTGGGGTCACCAATAGGAAACTATGTATACATAACTGAACCACACATGGTGGATACTCTGCAAAGGTATGATTTATATACTTGAGATTAAATGCTATATACTATCGTGACCGAAAACGAGAGTCTATACAAACAGAAGAATAGAGATATATAACACAAATTCTGGAGATCGAAATTCATAACATCATCTGCATTCAGTTTCATTTGAGAGAAAATCCCAAAAAAATTTGGAACAATGAAGTAATTGAAGATGTCCATCATACAATGAAGTAGTTTTTTCCCAACTTCCGCCAATACCACGACAGTAAATGTCATGTCATCGATTTGTCTGTTGCAATGGACTTTCGAGTATAAAGTTTTTTATAAGCGGGAGCAATTTGAATCCCAGTATGGCAATTGAATAATACAAGGGTATCCTAGACACGAACAAAAGGAGAATAACAATAATATTATCGCAGATAGGTTTGGTGCACTGAAAGTGAGATTACATCTCTTGCTCACTCCTCTACACACTAAATAATTATTGAATTAGACAAATTGAATTAATTTACACGTAACGACGACTTTATACACACACGATGGTACAAGGAATCGCGAAGAGCAGACCCCAGTCACATAGCCCACCCCGCAGCATCCCTTCAAACCCTCACAGGTCACTGGTCTTCATTTTATTGATTGCGTTGCCTAGGTGCATCACTTCCGTGTTCAACTGGTGGACCAGAGACTCCAGCTTCTCCACAGAGTCCAGAACCTCGACCCTTCCCGTGTGGGGGTGGAACCTGACCTCGAAGGGCCTGGACATCTGCGGGACCCATCTTCTGAACTTGTTCTTCATGTAGTCGATGATGTCCGCCGTAGTAGATGATCTGGGCACTGGAAACAATTATAGAATTTGGTGTTAATCTCAAATTCCGACAGTGACTGGAATATTCCGGATCTACAACTTCACCAGCTCATTCCTAATCAGAGGCATCGAGGAATTATTCAAAGTTCCTAGCTACCAATACACAAATGAGAGTTTGTACTAGTACTTTCTGTGCATTTTCGGTTCCCTGATATAACTTTTATGCTATCCACCAATTCAGGATATTTCAGTGTATTCAATATCTTTGGTATTGTGATAGAGAAAGTATGGTCCTACAGTTTACGAGTTCCGCATCCTATTCATAAAAGTAAGAGGAAGAGTATGTCTGACGATGTTCACGTTTCAGAATCAATAATAATATATACATTGACAGCATCATATAATTCGAAATTTGAACTGAGACATGGACATTGATTCACCCACGTGATCACATTGATGAATATTCCATCAGAGTCAGTCAAGCAGATTGGAAGATCAAAACTGATTACTTTGTCTGCATTCAGTTTCATAACAAGAAGTTATTGAGGATTCCCAACATAAAATGGAGTAAGTTTTTTGGTTACTTACTCCGATACCTCGACAATAATGAATTTCCTGTATGTTGAATTGTATAATGAACTTGGTGAACCTTGCAGGACATTGTAGAGGATATTTTTCCATCATTTTCTGGAGGAATTGAAATCTGGGGATTGTAATAAGTCAACCTGATTGATTCATTGCACGTTTTATTATTTTCATTCCATAAACATCTATGTATAATACAATAAAACTGCTGATCTCTCTGTGCGGGTGCTTCATAAATTAAATTAATATTTTGTCTTTAACGATACTAATTAAATAATACAAGGGTACCCTAGACACGAAAGAAAGGAAAATAACAATAATATTATCGCAGATAGGTTTGGTGCACTGAAAGTGAGATCACATCTCTTGCTCACTCCTCTACACACTAAATAATCATTAAATTAAACAAATTAAATTAATTCACACGTAACGACGACTTTATACACACACGATGGTACGAGGAATCGCGAAGGGCAGACCCCAGTCACATAGCCCACCCCGCAGCATCCCTTCTCACAGATCGCAGGTCTTCATTTTATTGATTGCGTTGCCTAGGTGCATCACTTTCGTGTTCAACTGATGGACCAGAGACTCCAGCTTCTCCACAGAGTCCAGAACCTCGACCCTTCCCGTGTGGGGGTGGAACCTGACCTACAAGGGCATGGACATCTGCGGGACCCATCTCCTGAACTTGTTCTTCATGTAGTCGATGATGTCCGCCGTAGTAGACGATCTGGGCACTGGGAACAATTATAGAATTTGGTGTTCATCTCAAATTCCGACAGTGACTGGAATATTCCGGATCTACAACTTCACCAGCTCATTCCTAATCAGAGGCATCGAGGAATTGTTCAAAGTTCCTAGCTACCAATACACGAATGAGAGTTTGTACTAGTGCTCCCTGTGCATTTTCGGTTCTATGATATAACTATTATGCTATCCACCAATTCAGGATATTTCAGTGTATTCTATCTTTGGTATTGTGATAGTGAAAGTATGGTCCTACAGTTCACGAGTTCCAAATCATATTTATAAAAGTAAAAGAAAAAGTATGTCTGACGATGTTCACGTTTCAGAATCAATAATCAAATATACATTGACAGCATCATATAATCCAAAATTTCAATTGAGACATGAACATGGATTCACCCACGTGATCACATAGATGAATATTTCATCAGAGTCAGTTAAGCAGATTGGAAGATCAAAACTGATTAATTTGTCTGCATTCAGTTTCATAACAAGAAGTTATTGAGGATTCCCAACATAAAATGGAGTAAGTTTTTTGGTTACTCACTCCGATACCTCGACAATAATAAATTTCCTGTATGTTGAATTGTATAATGAACTTGGTGAACCTTGCAGGACATTGTAGAGGATATTTTTCCATCATTTCCTGGAGGAATTGAAATCTGGGGATTGTAATAAGTCAACCTGATTGATTCATTGCACGTTTTATTATTTTCATTCCATAAACATCTATGTATAATACAATAAAACTGCTGATCTCTCTGTGCGGGTGCTTCATAAATTAAATTAATATTTTGTCTTTAACGATACTAATTAAATAATACAAGGGTACCCTAGACACGAAAGAAAGGAAAATAACAATAATATTATCGCAGATAGGTTTGGTGCACTGAAAGTGAGATCACATCTCTTGCTCACTCCTCTACACACTAAATAATCATTAAATTAAACAAATTAAATTAATTTACACGTAACGACGACTTTATACACACACGATGGTACGAGGAATCGCGAAGGGCAGACCCCAGTCACATAGCTCACCCCGCAGCATCCCTTCTCACAGATCGCAGGTCTTCATTTTATTGATTGCGTTGCCTACAGGGCCGATCCTAGCGGGTGTGCAGCGCGTGCCCCGCACGCGGGCGGCCAAAACAAGGGGCGGCCGCAGGCTGCATATTGTACTATCAAACAGAATTATTCGAAACTCATAAGTCGAATGAATATGCTGCATTTTGAATAAATAAAATGATAGTAAATAGTGTGTTGGTCCATTGTCAATTAATGTCTACTTTTTATACACATTCTTATCTTCCCAAATTTTAAATTTCTATTTGAAACAATAACCAAGGGGCATATTTTTCAGACGCCTCAGGATGTTTTGTTCCATCACTGTGCGGTAGCTTATTTATTCATTTCTACTACTTACTAAGAGACTATGAGAGAAAATCCCAAAAAATCTGGAGAACATCCACTTGGTTAAACTACAGACACCATTTAAAATACTTTTCACTTGCTCTTCTTATTGTTCTTATTTCCAGATTCCAGATCATTTTATATCAATTACAATAAACTGTAATATACTAATGTGATGAATTTGATTCCAAACAAAAAAATTTCGCCTGCGGCGCATTTTTTGCCACAGGAAAATTTTGTCTGAGTTTCTTGGCCGCTCCCGGTATGCACTGAAATGGAGTTATTACCTGAAAGCATTTGACCTTGAACTCAGAAAAAATTCGCCTGCGGCGCATGAAGATTTTGTCTACATTTTTTTTCTGTGTTTTACTTCTTATCCTTGTACAAGTAGTTGAAGTTATGAAGTCATCAGGTATAGTTAAAAAATATGAAAAATTCTCTAGAGGGGCGGCACATTAGGTTTATGCACGCGGGCGGCCGACACCCTAGGATCGGCCCTGGTTGCCTAGGTGCATCACTTCCGTGTTCAACTGGTGGACCAGAGACTCCAGCTTCTCCACAGAATCCAGAACCTCTACCCTCCCCGTGTGGGGGTTGAACCTGACTTCAAAGGGCCTGGACATCTGCGAGACCCATCTCCTGAACTTGTCCTTCATGTCGTCGATGCTGTCCGCCACGTAGTAGACGGGCTGGTACTCCTGGTCTTGGTAGGGCTGGAGGGCGGTTTTCGCTGGGTCGAAGGGCCTGTGCTCGGGCTTGTCGGAAAGGGCGTGAAGCAGTTCGCCGTAGGCACTGAGGAGACCTGCGCCGTAGGCTTTGGTTTCGCCGTTTTCCTTGCACAGTCCGAACTCGACAGTGAACCAGTAGATCTGCAATTGAAAAAAATCATCAGCAAGGAGTTCCGACTGGAGAATAAAAAGTTATGAATGAGTCGCTCACAGTGATGGATCTCTCGATAAGCAAATACAGGATGATTCTTCAGGAAATGGGCATACAGGAAAGATAAATGGAGGGCACCAAGGTACGTGTTTCTGAATAATCTATATTTCATGGTTCTATCATTCTTGTTGGAAGTGAATCCAAAAAGCTATAATACTTTGATGGATAATTTGCCATCAGCACGAGTCAACCCTTGCAGGCCTTTCATTAATTGTGGTGATTATGGTGGGCCATTCGATGTCAGAGTAACAAAATTTAGAACTAAAAAAATCGTGAAGTGTTATATGTGTATTTTCGTTTGTTTTTCAACGTTCATCTAGTCCTTGTGAGCAATTTATCAACTGATTCTTTTTTGAATTGTTTGAAAAGATTCATCTCTAGAGGAGGCAAGCCTCAGCAAATTTTTTGTGATGATGCAACTATGTAGGTGCAAATAATAAGTTGAAGGAATTTTCACAGTTTCTACTAAATAGTTATGTCCAAACTTCTATCCACAATTATTTGGCTGAGGATGGTATTGAATGGAATTTCATTCCTCCTCGTTCACCGCATTGTGGAGGTATTAGGGAATCTGTGATAAAGTCAGCAAAATATCATTTGAAAATTAAGAGTTATCGGTACAATCGTTTTAACTTTTGAAGAATTATATACAGTTTTAACACAGATTGAAACCTGTCCCAATTCACGACCTCTACTTCCTATGTTGGAAGACTAGTTTCTATAGTTTCTATCGATATTAGTAGCTTCCATAGATATTGTATATGATAAGTTACCATAGATATTCAATAATATATATATTTGATGTTGATATAGAAAAAAAAGAGATTATTAAATGATGAACAACGATTGAAATTAACATCCATTACAATCAATTTTGCGTTTTGGTGAATTGCCTGTGCAAATCTAAAACGGAGTGACATTGATTTTTCCAGCACCTAATCATAACTTTTGAACCACTCTATATATGTTTGTGATATTCGGTTCGTATGTTCTTTGTCCAAAGTGTTGACGATTGACAATTGAAGTCCTTATTTGGGACAAATTATTATTATCAATGACTAACTTAAAACACATTAACATTCCTTTATTGCACTTCATTTGAAACAAAAATTATGAAAGTCAAGAATAATGCCCATTCCGAGAAAATCAGAACTTTATTACAAACGAAAATGTCGTTTCAACAATTTTTATGGAGTTAAACGAGAAGAATCAGATTTATATTGCTCTTCGAAGGCTCGCGAGCACTGTTCTATCCTGTTGTCTTGAAATTAATCTCATTTATCTCACAGTTACTATCACTGCCAGCAAAATCAGCATATCTTTTGTGGAATTGGTCTGAAATTCCAATGAATGTCCTGTACTTATGTTTTGTCATTCTGGTAGATATAGATGTTGCAACTTACTTTCTAAAAAGTATTCTAATGTCCTCAATATTAATTATTCCACTTGAAATGTATAAATGATAACTTTTCTCAAGGGAAATTGAATATCAGCATGAGTGTACGAGATTAAACAAATTCATATCAAAAGATATACGGTGTTCTTGAGAGGGATCTCTGTGAGGAAATGACTGCAGAAGTTCATTGATATAAAAATAGATCATTCACCTATCATCTAGAATAAATATTATGATTTGATATATTCCTAATACCTTTATACCAATATAGCTTTCGTCATTATATCAATATTTCAATTATCTCAAGTTACGCTTCTATGTTTATTCAACTTGTTAAGTGAATAGATATAACTATTAATTCGTCATATTATCATCATTACCCCCCCAGTTTGAGTCTGTATGACTTGAGGAATGTTTTCTCCATTCAAAACCATACGTTTCTTGTGAAAAGCATAATTGTTGACAGGATGACCCAAGTATAAAATTGATGATTAGAGAAAAGGAAATCATAATTATGCTAAAACTGAAATCAAGTTGTCTATTCTACGGTGTCATACATTTTTAATGGAAAAACTATTGTTTGAAACGTTTAACTCTAACATTTGATGGAAAATCTGCGTTTGGATCTTCTAGAATAATCTAGATGCATAGATGCTGTATCTGTTTGCTGTATTTTACGAGATTATTTTCTTCTTATGATTTTAAACCAATTATCAGAATATTCTAATGATGCAAGCTACCTTGTATAATTTCCAATATACGTGAATATACATAGAGTAGCTCCACCAATCAGAAAATTAGAATTATTTCCATTTCCAGAGTAACTCACTCATATTGTTACATAAAACGAAGTCGTCTCATTTTGACGTTCGTTCAGACTAATCAAAGAATAATCAGATGGAATACAATTCAAACTTCAGAATCTTCAAGAACGAGTCATCGATGTATAACCCGAATATTTTGAAGTACTTATGGTATAACTACTGAGTATACTGCACTGGCAGATCCATAGAACAATGATAATGATTGCACTGACAACGTAAACGGATCAGAAGATGAATTCCAAAAGAAAAATTGCGATCACCATGTCAAGGTCAAGATTGTTCATGCGTGAATGATCATCGATAGTGCACCGGACTGCATTATTTGCCTATTGCGAACATGGTCAAGCATCTCGTTACGAAATAATTCTAAACGAGGTCTTGAAAAATGGTAAAATGTTGAATATTGTAAGAAGTTGACAGAAAAGTGTACTGGAAACCAATCCTTCTATTCACGAATAGAAATATGGTCTACACCCCTGCTGAATATAATTGGTGGAATAGACTTCGAAAGAGTGACGAATAAGACAAATCTTTTTTCTCCGATTGGCAGCAAATAATCATTTTGCTGATACATATCAATCAGCGAAGTAACCACTTTACTGCAGGCAGTAAAGTGGTTACTTTGCTGATTGATATGTGTCAACAAAATTAATTGTGGGAATTGTAATAATTTGCAAATACAATATCCTCCTATATCATTATGAACAATCGGAGAAATAATAATATGTTCAACTCGGCAGCAAAGTAGATTGACTGCCTTAGCTGAATTCCTACTTTGCTGCCTAGTTGAACAAATAACTATTCTATTATATTATGAGTTAAATGTCAATGATATATTATTTTTTGTGGCTAGTGGGTGTAGAACTCATTGAATAACAAGTTCTACACTCACCACAGATCATTATCAATGCGAAAACATAAAAATCAATTATATACGCCCGTAATCATTCAACCATTTAAGTAATGTCATATTTTTATATAGGTAACCAAATTTTATTGATTCTGAATGTATCAAAGTAATATTCCCTGACTTCTTCTCAAGTATAGGTACTCAGAATTTCTCATTTTCATGACTTGCCATTTGAGAATATTAACTTCAAAATCTACTTGAAACCATAATAGAATCAATACTACGAATATAAAAACTGTAATGATAGTCATGTATCGAGAAATTGATCAATGATTTGAAAATCAGAGGAGAACATTCACATTCGACATCTGTTGTCCTTGAGTATTCATCAAAACGAAATTCATTGATGATTTCCCAATTCGACATTCAATTTTACGTAACACATCACATCGTGGAAAAACTCTAACTTCCAGTGGGTAATTATCATGTCATCATTCAAATTATTTTCGGAATCCGAAATAAACCAGATTAGTTTTTCAAATCGAATATTAATCGATGTTTTTCCTTGTATAAATTGGAAATTCGGATCCGTCCGTACCCTGTTAAGATGACAAATACGTCAATTTACATCAAGGGACCCTAGTGACAACTATAATCTACTATATCGAGATACTTACAGTGGATAATTTCTCGATTTCCTGGTCAGATGCTCCAAGAGACGCTAGTCCTATTTCTTGTGAAAATTGTGCAAAACTGGGATCGGCAAGAAGTGGCATATGTCCTAGAATTTCGTGAATGCAATCTCTGCAAAAGAAATAACGTTTAAATTTGATAACCTTAATTCCCGTCTTCTCGATATCTCAAGGGACATGTATTTCATCCTATCAGGAAATAATTCTTTTTGAATTGGGAATCCATTTCACCATGACTACAAATCTCGTAATAGAGATCTGAAATTCAATATACAGGGTGTTCCATAAGTCATGGGTCAAAAGACGTGGGGTAGTTAAAGAAGTCATTTGCAATCATACTGACGGTATATGTGGTTATCAAATTGTTGATGGTTCAATAGTTATTCTTTTCTTCTGAAAAGACGCGACCTATTTGAAAAACATGAATAGCAAAAAGGCTGCTTTGAATAACCCCATATGTTGTACTATTTCGGAACCTGTATTAAATGGAAAAAAAATTCTTGCAATTATAAATTATCTTTGTGGGATAGCGAAGAAAACAATATTCTCCTCAGATAATTCATATGAAATAACTCATGTCATGAAATTATTTCTGGGGAAAGGTGCTTCTACTAGAAAGTAGTAGCAACATTGATATATCAAATGGAAAACCCTGTCTTCTATCGCATTTTTAGATTCTCCCTCAAGAGCTGATTACACACTTGGGGTCTTCCCAAAAAGATTTCAGAGATATAGGGTGGTCAACTTCAGGATTTTTTTGTGTCGAAAAACTCGAAACTATTCATTATCGGTCAAAACGGCTCAAATGTCCCTTTCTCAACTTCTGAATCAATATTTACTGATATTCGATCTGAACAGATACAGGGTGGTTCAGAGTTCAGACCTTTTGTATCTGTTTCGATTGAATATCAGTAAATAGTAAATCAAAAGTAGAGACAGGGACATGTGAGCCGTTTTGGCAGATAATGAATAGTTTCGACACAAACAAATCCTAATAAAGTTGAAAAATCTCGAATTTGAACACCCTATATCTTCGTAATCATTCCCGATAGACTCCGAATGTAATGTATCGATGAAATCAGCTCTCTAGGGACAATCTGAAAATGCAATGAAATACAGGGTATTCTATTCGAAATGACAATTAAAGCTCTTGCTACTTTTTGATAGAAGCGGCAACACTGCATTGCTGAAAATATCTTGAATGAAAAGAGCGTATTCTAAAATATAAGCATGCATATTTTCAAGGATTTCTCCCGACTGATACTCGATATAGAGATAGTGTAAGCTCGTATTGTGACTTACCATTATGTATAGGTAGTGTGTTTTACTTCGAGATTCAACACGCGTCCATTCCGATGGAAGAGGAACTATTCACACAATTATTTTTTTTTTAATTCACAATTCGAAAGTTTCATCAGATGGTCAACGAATTTGGATCTGATTTATGATTCCATGACCTCCAGCAGTGATCAAAATTACATCACAAAAAGCAGGAATCTGAATTAGGCTTATTTTATCCTGATAACTGATTACATATTCTATTTGCTCAACCAAATACGAAGTTCCATCGAAATATGATTTTCTGAGAGAGAGAAATTAGAAAAATTTTCAAGGAGAAGTCTTCTTGAAGATTGGAAGGAATTCCTTTTCTGTCCAAAATTTTTGTTTTCGTAAAAGAAATATCTACAAAGCAATGGGATCTTCATGAAAACATTGAAACTTCTGGCAGTTTGTCTGAAACGATGCTAGATATGGTTTGGTTTACACTATTCTCTATACGGAGTCATATGAACAATTAGATAATGCAATTGGGTCCCAAAATAGCATGGTGCCTAATATTGTTGATGTTGAATCGAAATCAATGGATTCCATGAAATGATGAATCAAACCCATTTCATACACCATTAGATGAACAAAAAATGTATCTGAAAAATCGAAAGGAAAAGTTACTTAATTGAAAGAATTCTCAAGTACCGCTCACAAGAATAATTCTATTTCAACCCTCTCTCAACAAAAAATTTGTTGGTATCCATGGTTAAAATCTTTCTGCAGTGCATAGAGTTCATGGAATTAAACGACGAGCGCTATTAACCCACGCCTCTTGATATAATGACATTTTAATCGAATTACACAGGTTCTTTGACGACAGATTGCCCCTGCCTTGATAGCTTGTTCAGTCTAGATATCGAATGAAATTGATATTTCAGCCGATAACTTGGAAACTATATGAGTTTTCATGCAAAAACTTCCGTCTACTATACTAAATCACTCTGTTATATGTAATTCATCACAAACACTTTTTTAGGATCACTTTTTCTTGAGAAATAGCTATCCAAAAGTAAAATCTCTGCTAGAAGTCTATAGTTTCTCAAAGTGCAGAACAGTGATAAAAACTGAATAATAGACGAACTCACCTCCACGACAATTTAATTGTGAATAATCACATCAAGAGAACTTGTTTTCAGACATATTGTAGGACACATTTCTTAATTGGCTGATGATGGACATACACATGCCCGAAAACATGTTTCCTTGATGTGATTATTCACAATCAAATTCTCGTGGAGATGATTTCGTGTATTGTGCAGAATATATCCAAAAGAAGTTGTCTTCAAGTAGAAGCAGAAGAATATTAATTTATCTCCAGCAAATATATCTACCCCTTGAGGGTATGCAGGAAACCTTCTGGGAATAAGTATATCTAGTTTCTCTTTTGAAAACAACCTCACTTTTAGGAATTCTCTTCGTTTAGGTAAATTGATTGACACTCACGGTTCAGGAGTGTGGAATGGAGTCTTGGTGTGACGCACGTACTGGGTGCTCTGGAAAATTCTGAAAGCGAGGGAAGCCAAAAAGTCTCTGGCAGTCAAGAGGCCAGCAGCGGGTCTGAGGGTGAACCCAGTCTGCTTCTTCATGAAGTTGGACATGTCTTCGAGCTGTGGTACTTTAGCGGGGGTGAAGATACCCTCTTCTTGGAGCGTACGGAATACCTTGCGGTACTCCAAGCAAGCGTGTTTTGGCATCAGATCGCAGACCATTGTGAAGACTGCGTTCCATGTTTTGTTCTCGGTTTCAGTGTATTCTATATAAGGAACTGGGTCACCACTGAAAGTAATTAAACAGCATAAGTCAGTGCGAAAGTCAATTCATTCATATTTAGGATTTATACGATATGATTCCTTCAGCTCAAGAAACATAAGAAATATCTACCCTATAGAGAGGATATTGAATAATTGAATGTGGTCTTCTGATTATTCTTTTGTGTTATTAGACGTAAGCTTCATTTCATCACCACTTACAATTTATAAGCAAAAGCAATTTCAGCTATCTGTTTACGCCTGGCACGGTATTCCTTGTCAGAGAATCCAGGATGATTCATGTCCAAATCAGGCTCGTACTTCGTCATCAGATGGTTGCAGTTGTCTAGTTCACTAGCGTGTCTGGGAAACCATGGGTTCTTAGCTGAGATATTGTCCTCTCCGATGAGGGTCACGTGTTCCAGAGTACCAGATTGGCGCAGGCCTTTGAGGAGTTGCAGCAGGTTCACACGTGACAACTCTACCTTGACGAGGGCATCGAGTTGGCTGTTTTCCTTCTTGTTAGAGCGGGTTTCCAAGTGGAGGACGAGGCCTTGGTACTTTTCAACTGTTTTGAGGACTCTGGAAAGGGAGTTCATGCCTTCGCGCAGGCGCAAGATCAGAACTGCTCGTTGGGTGGCTTTCTCGGCTTCTGGGTCTTCCGCAATTGCGTTAGCAAGGACGACTTCTTCTTCTGTAAGACCAACATCTGGAAAAATAGTTCAAAAAATGATTTTATGAATGTTTCACCTGTTTGTATTTGTTTAACCACAGACAGGGGTGGTGAAGGCAAAGAGAAGAATTAACGATGTTTTTATGCCTACTATTAAGAATAAAAACTTGTTAACGATAAAGGTGAATCAATGTTTATTGTAAACATTATGCAAGATGTAATTGAGTTACGTATTTGTGAATCATTATGCAACTGACAATCATTTGAAACAGTAAAAAGAAAACTGTATTCGGTGTTAGCTCTAACAACTGAAGAAGGAATCAATGAGGAAGTGAAGAGATGATACCTTTTCAGACTGTGAAATGTGGATTAATTGAATTTAATTCTATGCCGACAAACATCAACCACATAAGTGATATCTTCTCACTTTTCTGATCATCGGAATGAACAATAATAACCTAATCTAATAGACTTGATGAATTCATGGTTGAAATTATCGCAAAAAGTTTCTTGGTCATTTGATCTCAATCAAATCAATTATATCATCATTGACGCATTTTTCATTTATTTGATCCCTACGAACCTTCTGAAGTTCAAGTATCTTATAAAATTTAAGTACGTGAATTTTTCCATAATGATCCATTATTATTGGCATTTCTAATTACAGATAAGAGTTGAATTTATATCAGTGAATGTGAAGCCAAAAATTAGAATGTAAAAAATATTACAGACAAATAAGGCTCCATTTCATATCTCCATATGGGAATGTACTTATTTGTATCTATAGGGAGATGGACGAAGAGAATTTATAGTAGGTATAGCAATCGATAAGATAATTATAAAATGAGTTAAACGTCGAGCTATTTAATATAATATCTCTCTTTTGGAAATTGAATTTATGAGTCTATTGTTTCATCAATCCACTTACTGGGGTTAAAATGACCATAATCAGAACCATATTAATGTTATTCAATTTATGTCTGAAATGTAAATGGCATTTTTCATTTCTATGTCCATAACCTTGGATTTGAACCTCAAAAACGGAAACAAACAGAATCATCGATTGAAATGAAGAAAAATATAGCATTGAATTTGAACTACAAAAAATACTCTCAATGGCAAGATCCCATAACTTTGAACTGAAAATCCAATCTAGCGTGGCAAATAGAAGAAAAAATCATAAATATGTTCTTGTGTACCTATAATATGTATCTTGAGACTTGGTACAACACAATCAATGCGAGGTCATTTCAAACCTTGTCTTGCGACTTTAGTTCGAATAAACTTGACATAGATATTTGAACTTGAAATCATGTTGGCCACTACATAACATGGAATGAAACAATGAATGTAATCATAAGAACATTATTTAGTGAATCATTATGATGTTCATGTGCTTTATTTTAGAATTGACACTTTTTTTATATTCAGTAGATAGCTGGTCCTATGAATATACATTATTTATGGTTCTCTTGGGTCTTCCTGGAGGAATGAATTTAGACTGTTGAGATTATTTGTATGTGGAAAAAAAATTTGTCCCTATTGAAATTCCAGTCCCTTGAATTTAGTTACTTCTCCAAAATCTATTCACGTACTGTGAGAGGTTACCAGGGCAAAATGATAATAGTGATAAAATCGTTAATAAAAAATATATAAGCGACCAGAAACGATGATAATATATACGTCAAATCCTCAAAAGCCACGAGTCCATTAAATTAACGATACTCTCCAGAACTCCCAACTCCGGATCACCCTTCCCATATTTTGCGAGCTTAACTCTCAAATCTACTTCTTCTCGACAAATGGAGGGTGAAAATTGACTTTTGACATCATAAAAGCCGGACGAAGTGTTAGAAGCTGCCTTTGTTCGAACTGCACTTCGCTTGTTACATTATTCTCTTGACGTAATTACGACCTTTTTCGCAACCCGTTTCAAGCGAAATATAAATTTTTACGAATACAGAGATGTTCCTATCACGATCTGGCATAAATCAAAGAGAGAGTACGTGTGCCAATTTGGTATAATCGATTATTGAGAAGTTGACGTACAGTAGCAAAAGTCTTCAAAATATATTAAGCGATATGATGCTCATAGAAATATATTGCCATAAGAAGACCTCTATGTATGGAACTATGACTGAGTTGACTGAACAACAACAAAAGCAATAATTGGACGAAAAATTACCAATGACTCTGGCTGATCATATCCTCAAGTGGTATTGAACCCGCAGCTTAAATAGGTGAATAGAATTCGACTGATTATTCGAAATGAAATGATTATGATGAGTTGTATCACAAAAGCTGGTAGATCAATGACCAGAGTACTTACCATCATCGTTACCATTTAGTTGTTCTGGTTTTTGAGTGGGTTTGTCGTCCAATATTTCCGGTTCTACACTAGAGTCTAGAAATAATATGAAAAAAATGCTAAAACATCAATCATGCGTAATCAAATAAAAAATCAATGATGAATGAACGATTAACCTAACCATGCGTCAAACAAGGTTATTAACATGCGATAATTGATACATCAAAATAATTGCAAAAAAAAGTTTAAGTCTGCATTCTTTAAATAGTTAATCCACGATCAATTTTGGACACTTCTATTGAATAAAAATCAAGTCAAACGAACATGACATGCCAAACATGCAAAGTTGATCAACATAAAAAGTTATATAATTAATTTCAATTTGGTGGAGGACCTTTCCAAACTAGAATCATTCAGATATTCTTCTAAATAAACGAATACAATTGACCAAACTTCTGTCGCTCTGAAAAGTTCATTTTTAGGATCAAACAGGAAATGAATAGAGTACCTACTAAAAGTTATATAGAAATTAATTTTTTTCAGTATAGTGCTCAAAATCAAAAAATATATATTTCATTTGGTTTCTTTCATACAGCAAGTTGTCAATTCTGAAGAAAATACTAACATATAAATATTTACGGTATTTTTTCTACTTGATGAAAAATTCACACGAGAAATAAAATGTCTTACCATTGGCTCTCTGACGAGCCTCATCCAGTACAGTTTGCTTAGTTTGCTTCACCACCAAAGTTTCGAATCTGGCATCATCAACGAGGGAACGGCGTCTAGCTGGGTAACCGTTCTGAAAAAATCAAAGAAAATGTCTTTAGATTTGACCTCCTTTTGTCTCGAGCAGAAGGAAATGCGGGAAATGACAGGAAATTGGTTTCCTGAAGGGTGGCGCTTAACAAGATAACTTCGTCATAGAGAAGATTCGTCGCAGTATGAATGAAATCGTTTGATGGATAATCCATGGGATTGGTCTAGAAGAAGATATCAAATTGAGTGACATTTTATGTTCTGAAACATTTTGAGATTAATCTTCTGAACTAGTCCATACTGAAAGTGGAGCCAGTCAATTCTGCTCAATCCTTAAGAATGAGATATGTTTCGACCATTCAAACGGCCATCATCAGTTATTTTACAATAAAGTTAATCTGCAACGAAAAATTGTTCTTACTTAGCATCTAGCAAATGGTTAAACTCTGGACTACTCAAGTGACATGTTATACAATACCAAAGCCGATCATGTGAAGCTTTGCCTTTCCCCAAAGGAACTATCAAAAATATTTTTAAAGTTCTCCAAATAATTGATAATGTCCTTTCAACCACAAATTTCTCGCCTTCATGATGTTTTAGCCAATTCCACGTGAGTACGATCTCATCCTTACTCATCATTTTGTTTTCAAAATAATTCGTTTGAATAAAATTTTCAAAAAATGCTTGTTTCTTCACCATCATTCACTTATTCTCTCCTAATAAATGTTTAATCAACAAAACTATGAACCATAGTTATATTAATTTTTTCACTAGTTTCTTGATATTTTACTTCACATGATCGGTCTTGGTATTGTATAACTCGTCACTTCACTCAGGAGTTTCATTTGCTAGATGTGAAGTAAAAACAATATTTTGTTGTATATCAACTTCATTGTACAATGACTGATGATGACCATTTCAATGATCGAAACAGGTCTCATTCTTCAAAAGTAACGAAGTAGAATCGACTGCTCCTTTGCCATTGAACTTGTGGAGACGATTTTGAGTTTTTCTTGTAGATTTTGAGATTGTCTGATGTAATGTAAAAGTTACATCTCTCTAACTCCAAAGGCGACTGAACTGTCTCGCGAAAATATCAAAAATTGAGCAGACTGAAGTGTGCCTAGAAGTTTTGTGAATCATATTGATTGACAGGCGAACCCGAGCGTTTGCTTCCGGCGGGGTCAGAAGCACTGAAGTATCAATGACTCCTAGAATATTGACGGAAGTCCAATAATTGTTAGGGAATGTGAAAGGTGAAGCATCATTGTCGTTTTCTTGCGGTTTATTGTGTCATAATGTCTCATAAAACACCGACATTTCTTGATCGCTCCAGTTTCCGTAACACCCTGTATAATATTCTTACCGCTCCAATGTAGATTATATTGGTCGAATTTAAATAAAATAAGTGTATAATTAATTATCAATCAATATGATCTACGAGGATAAGTTTCCGGGGCTAGGTTTCTCGTTGACCTTGAATCGTGGGGGCGAGTTACATTTACTATCACTTTTAACTGTCCCCTTCCTTCACGCCCCTTGTTCCCTCTTAAATCCCCCCAGGAAAGGTCATCATGATACATTTACATCGCCCCAAGCGTTATCCATTACATGACCATGATCTTACTCGAGAAAATTATCATAAATAGTAGTGATTAGTACAGATTATTACTATTTTTGTATATGGAAATTAATTAGCAATTATTCATTATTGGATTCCGATTCAAATCAACTGAGAATAAGTTGATGTTTTTTGAGAAATTTGGTTCCGCATTTCAAGTGTTCGGCCTTGAAAATCGAGCTCATTACGAATTTCAACCTGCTTCTATATTACGGATTCAGATCTTGACATATCGTTTTTAATTGACTATTATTACTTCTAGATCAATCATACCAGGTGTTGAAAGATTGTATCATGTGGAAGGTACTGATATTTGCAACAAAAATATGAAGATCAGGGTAATTTTAGAGTGGAAGTGATAGAGGATTAGGCATAGACTCATCTGAAAATGATTATTGTATCGTAGATGATAATACCTTAAAAAATAATCAGCTATAATCAGTATCGACTCTTGATGAATTTTTCATCAAGAATGGAGAGTATAGGTGGCCTCATTGGTACTATAGCAAAAACAATTAATGTACAATAATTGTTTTTAATGAATACGCGAGATATATTATAAAATCTCGTAATCACAATAAAACTGCAACCTTCACCTTGACTCTTACTTCTCCTGATTTTAAAAAACATTCGCTCTTGTGCAGGTTCCATTTATTATTACAACCTATCCTTTGATTTATCATTGGATATACAATAAGTTCATAATATATATATATATTGATCCATAAATAAATTCTATTGGAATTCAGGAGGTACATGATTGAGCTTTCGACTGTGCAGATAATCCGATTAGGTTGATTGATTCGTCAAACTCTGCATTTTTCGAGTGGCCAGTTCGATGAAAGATATTATGTCATTGATAATTTTTACTGAATATTCAAAGTATTTTTGATGAGATTCTCATCGGTTTTATTATGGTTCACGAATAATACTCATATTATTATAGTGATATTGGATCATGAGCTTCAGCTCGTGATATTGTATCATGAACTCTAGCTCGGCCATAGTTGTGTGTAGTTTTTGTTTTTGCTTGGTGCGCACGAAAGGGAATGTCTATGATCTTCCAAGAACATCGTGTGTAAGTTCTTGTACGTACTTCCAAAAATAGTTCCAAAAATAGCAGGATAACATCAAAGATTTCTGAGTGAATGCTTCAACATCAATCGGTGCATGAATATTCGTTATGGACCTTTTGTCCTTAAATAAACTCACCCGCGAAAGAAACCTGCTTTCACCCTGACATATTCTATAAATTTCCTCTCAACGATATAAATTCAATAACTAATTAGTTAATTAGTCATTATTTTTGATAATTAGGGGTAGCCGAATTTTTTTCTGGTAGAAAAAAGGACATATTTCCACATAGTTTCAAGATTTCAGCTTCTATTTATCGAAAGTGTATCTAGCGATATAACTATAGGAAACAAAGAAACTAGATTGCTGGGAAAATATCAATTTAGTTGTGTGAATTTTATGAAAGCTTCGCTTTCCCGAGTATTTCACAATGTTATATGTATTGAAACAATTCATTCGATAAAATCAATCTGTATACATGAAACTATTGGCATAAACTGCAGAAATTTTAAAATTAGTTTACGTTTCACCTGTATTTCAACCGAACTCGTCTGGTCTTTATAATAGATGCTCAATTAATCCAAAACAAAAAACCATGATCGATTGACAATGGATCAATAAGATTATTCATCGAGATAAAAGAGTGTGATATGAATGTTAACACCTGTTTTAATGCCTATACTTCGGACTTGGGAATGCCGTTAATGATAGGTGCGAGACCATGAAATGAAATATCAATCAGAAGCGTACAGAAAAAGTATTGTGATGAAACAAAAAACCTTAATTACTATAATGAGTCATCGAAATAAGTATGAATTATTGGATATTTTTCATCCAACCTCGATTATAATATAATTATGAGTATTTTGAACGTTTTGGGGTCTATAACCTAGGTGTGGATCCCGAATTTTATGTACTCTAGAATCCACGATAGATTATCTAATTCGATGATAATGACACAGGTTTTTCTGCTAAACGCCAGCACATTAATTAATATGTATTAGCTGAATTCTCCTCCGTGACTTATGTGTTATATAATTAAAATTATTCCATCATCTCTTTGACTGAATAGTTTCGGAATGTTGGTTATAGGATTGTTTATACGTCCATAAATTCATATAGTTATCAACAATGATGTTTTCTATGCAGGTTTTCCAGAGTTGTGGATTAATGAACTATCATGTTTATCACGATGGTCAACAGTGAGTGTATGTCAACAGGATTCATACTGTCAGAAACATACCTACTACGATTCTGAAGTAAATATTGATTAACTCTTCATCAATCCATTGACCATCCCATTTGCTGTCAATCAAATACTTACCGCAACATCAATATAGTCTTCTGTACAGGGTCTGTATTTTTACTAGCAGAATGGTCAGGATAAAAAAGGGTCACCGCGGATTTGTCAGATATTTTCCCTATTTTGTTTTCAACCTGAATTGATTTGGTATATGAACATTCATCACGAGAAATTGTGGTAATATTGTGAAAAATAATATTTCACCATGCTTATATCCTTCAATTTCGGGGAATTTAGGTAACTATTACTGTTCGGCTTGAGAAAATGTAGTAGGTATATAGTTTTGTTGGCAACCCATTGATCAAATTATTAGAAATAAGTAATTTCGATTATTCATCAGGATTGAAAGAATATATAATATTCTGAATGTTGAAAGTGTATTTCGTATAAATTGTTTACGAATCGCACGAATATTTAGGAAATTCTCCCACATCTTCGACTCTCGACCATTTTCGAAATAATCGTGTTCTCGAAATAATATCCGGAAATAATTGAAGCTCTCCTGATATAAGTGATAATTAGTATTGCAGAGAAATATCGGCCGACAGCTATTTGATATGGAATTAGTTGACACTTTGATTTTTGAAAGTTTGGTTGCAATTATCGCAATAAACTATCGAAAGTATATAACTGCGATATTGAGTTTGAAAATGTCCATACAAAATTTTCAATGTAAAAGTTAGTAGGTATAGGTATTCTGTTCAAATTTCAGTATTTGATACAAATGAGAATTAATGAAGAAGAAATTGTATTCTACTAAGAAATATAATATGGAAATTTGTCTCATTGATTTGTGATTCTACATGGTTGCCAGAAAAATAGTGTACGCGACACGTCCAAAAATAGTTTTTTTTAGACAATCCAGGACTCGCCTACGGCTTGAAATAGAATTTTGTCTACTCTACTAAAATAGCAGTATTTTCCGGAATTGTTACGTAAATTACTATTTCAACAATTGAAATCAGATAGTCAGATAAAAAATATCGAAAAAGTATTTGTTAAGCCATCTAAATGGAAATTATTATCATCAATAAATTATTTATTTTACATTGCAAAATGCTCGAACTGTTTATAATTTGTCAATTATTATTGAAGAGACAGAGGAACATCCATATCGATATTTCAGAACTTTAATTTGCCTTAAAGTGTATCGTAATTGAAACCTTTAGAATTTCGAAGAAAAAATTTACTATATTCTCTCAAGATCACTTCAACACCAATGCACAACAATTCCGGTAATTCTCACAATGAACCTCTTTGAAGCCCCCACATACCTCGATGCTATAAGACTTCTTGATAGCGAACATCTCCCGGTTCTTCTGAGCCGCTGCCACTGCTGCCATTTCTTCTTCTTGTCCTTCGAAACTCGGAGACTTCAATAGGCGATAAGACTCGCTAAATTTTCAATCAGCCTGAAGCACGACAATGTTTCACTGCTGACGACGCGTTGGAGAAATCCGTCAAGAAAAAAATTTCGACCACGTTGGAGACTGACCACGTCTGTCGAAAAACTATCAAGGGGCTAACCAACGAGCGGGCTTAGCGAGTTGAGCAAACTGGAGTGTGAGTTGGGCCGGGGCGGCCGCGTATAAGTAGTTCTGGCCCCTTCTCTGGGGCTGCTCCCCACGCGGCCGCCCTTTCAGTTTTCGCCGTGAAAAACTCCGCACGCGTGCGTCATTGGTCCGGGAACCCCGAAGAGCGCGCCGTTGCCGGATCGGCGGGGATTTCCGCGGGAAATGGAAACGGAAGTGGAGCAGTTGCTAGTGGGTCTGTGTATGCGGTAGCACGATAATTAAGGTGCGAGTCCATTAGTAGAGGAAGGTCGCTTATTTTCGGTCAGCTTCTGAAAATGCCCAAAGTGTTCGATTCGGAATCAAATCATCTAAACTGCTCAACACATGAAACGTAAAATCGCATTTTTTCGGTCAAAGGACCCCGCACTAAACTATAGGGAAAATGGCTCTCGATAAAAATCGCTGAATTATTGGTATGTTGCCGACTTTGATATACTGAACAGATATTCTTTCGAATTAACCTCAAAAAATCTACAGTTTTTCCGATACAGACCTCCCAATGTCATTTTTTCGAGAAAAAAAAATCTGACAAGCTACTGGATTTTTCTTCTAGACTCCCTGATAGAAAAATTTGCTAAACGCAGTGACATTTTGGGGCAAATCATCTGATTTGTCCCTCTACAAATATATTGAAATAATACGAATACTTTTATTTTATAGAAACGAGGAGAGAAAATCCCAAAGAACCAAGTAAAATGAATCTGAAAATGGTTGAATTTTTGGCATGTTGTAGATAGGAATAAACTGATGGAAAAATTGACAGTTTTCTCGATATTGACCTTCAAGAAAAAAATCTCTGGGGAGGGCGGAATTTCTGGTATGTTGTAGATAGGAATGAACTGATGGAAAAATTCAAATGACCAAATGTACGTATGGAAAATAAGATGGATGGAATAATAATCAATGAAAAAGTTGCTATCTTCGAATAAGTATTTGGCATTTCATGCTTATAAAAACAAATCTTCTTCATATTAAACATCCACAGGTGAAGCCGAAGAAAGGATGTATTATTTAAAAGATGGTTATAGTCTTTCCGAAGTCAATAGGGTTTTAGGTATACACACTAGTCGAATTTATGCCATATATCTATTTCATTTTGATCATTTCATCTATACATTACTTAAAATAATACCAAATATATTTTTTTTAATAATCAAAATAATCACCTCTCAGCAACACTATATCCGCCGATGACGTGACATTGACATACCGATACCGATAAACACTTCTAGATTCTTATTGTTCAAGATTTTGACTACCTTTCAAACCAGATTGACAGGAACACGAGGCCAATAGAAATTAGAGCATTAAATTATGCATTATCTCAAAAAAACATTCATATTCCAGTAACGCGTGTGTCATTTCCAAAAATGTTTTTACAGTATCGAGAAGACATATGAAGGAATATGTTTTTGACCCCAAAAAATTGAAAAAATTTTCTTTCAAACGGGAGGCGTTTGAAATTTTTGGAAAAATGCACAGCATAGTCAATGAAACGAGCTTTCAGAAACTGAAAAATAATTAAAATTCGCTTGAGGAAATCGAAAGTTATGATGATTCAAATTTTATCGAAAAAATGCGATTTTACGTTTCATGTGTTGAGCAGTATATACACGGTAAAAAATCCTATTGAGCGAAGCTTTTCGTCAAAAAGTGTACGCAGACGATCTGAAAATATTTTGTGAAGTAAAAGAATAGATGTTTGTTTTGCAGAGAGTGGGGGAATTTGAAGATCTAGGGATAATTCTAGATTCCAAAAAATGAATTCCACCAAACATAACGATTATATAATAGGTGAATGTATCTCAGAATTCATTGAAAACTCTATACTTACAGCAAATTTAATTTCGCGAGTGTGATTTGGAATCCAGGATATAACATATATAAACTGAGGTTCGGAAAAGTACAAAATAGGTTCGTGAGATTTCTGAATTTCAAAATAAGTGGAACTTACAACATAGGAAATATTCATCTAGTTCGGCAGTCGTTTGGTATTTTGGAACTTAAAAAACGAAAAATAATCACTGACTTAGCTACACGTTCAAGGTTCTAATGAATCATTATCACTGTCCAACATTTTTATCATTTTTCTCTAATAATGTTCCTCCTAGGAATACTTCTTTCTCAATATAGATTGTTGAAATACGGAATTTTGGCTGCAATTCTCCAATTTCTAGATGGAGCAGTAGTTTCAAAAAATTGTAGTGTTGATAGTATTTATTCACCTTCAAACAAAAAGTGAAAATAATATTCCTAACATAAAATTCCAAAATTGTTCAACATCCTGAATTCCACTTTTGACTATTATACTTTAACTCGTTACACTATATATAAGATTTCAATGAGCTGTGATGCAAAATATTCTACCAGCGGATTCTGGGTATTGAACGTATTTGTATCCCAAAGTTGTAATAAATAAATAAATAAATGAATAAATAGAAATGCACAATTTTTCGAACATTCATCATATTTCTGAGGCATTTTCAGTCAGTACATTTCAATGGGTAGCTATGAAATGCTTTCCTGATACCAGCAGCATGGCAAGTGTTTTCCGCACGATCTCTCGGTTTGAAAGCTGTAAGTATACTTTTCTGTACGATTTTACTTGTCCGTAAGATTTTCCCTTTTCCGCACAATTTCTAATTTATTGCACGATAAATAGATTGAAATGTGCGGAGAAATTACTTTACCGCTCTAGTGCTGAAAAGTTCATAGGAAAAATCTGTGGCCCAAACAAATCAAATCGCAAAAATGTAGTTCTCCTCATTGTCGCTGATATCCGAAATTGGGAACCTTCAAGTATCCGAAATTAGGAATTTTCTCATGAAAAGTTAGTTTCCTGTTAACATTCATAATTTGTGGTTATACATATTATATGATATTCGAACATGTGAATATCATGGAATATAGGTAGTAGGTATACATACGTATGATCAATTTGCTATAGCAAATATTCTACCTGAACAGACTTGGTAATAACAGAGATATTATGTGGTTCAGTACAAAATTCGAATAGTTTGGGAGAAACGTCACTATCCTCTACTGAACCATTTCCCAGAACTATCTGAAAAACAAAGAAAAAACTTGATGAATATATCTGAAGAAGCAGCGTAAGATATTTCTGAGTAGGTATACATTTCTGCAGATTTTTTTGCAATTTCCTCTCATCGTTTCTACAAATAAAATCATGGGTAGAATGTATGTGTAGTAGTAGTAGTAGTAGTTTTATTGATCCATTGAAACGAGCTCACAAAAGCCATTGGACAACTCAGAATACTCGAAAAATACAAATACTCATTTACATGACTAACAATAAGGTGAAATGACTGGAATAGAATGAAAACAATACATACAAAGATCATGTGTCGTAGGCAAATGGAAGCTGTTTTGGTGCCTGGTATTAAAATTGTGGATATGATCATTTTTTATGTGATTATATTTATTTTTGTGTATAAAAACTAGAATTTCCATGATATAGAGACCTGCTGAAGATACTATTTTGAACTTCTTGAACAGATTTCGGCATTACTCTACAGGTAATATTTCTGGTACAATGACGAAGCCACTGTGTAAGCGAAACATGTCGTGTGTTTGAGAATTTTGTGGAAATCTTATCGTTTGTGAAGTTTTCACATTTGCCATGAATTTCTATCAAGTCGAAGTCGGCCGAGTCAATTAAAAAAAAACGGTAAGTATATGTAGGTACTCCTCGAAAAAATGTACTGTATTACTATATCGCGCTGTGCTCAATGTGCATTGCAATATATTCTTTTTACCAAAAGATATCAGAGTAAATGTTCACTTTTCTTTTACTTTTGTATATAGAGTGAAGCAGGACAGGTTTACGAAAAAAACTTGTGTACTTGAGAAACTGTTTCCACTCCCTTCGTAGATACCTCCCAGGAATTACTGAATCAAATGTAATTGGTTCAAACCGTTGTCATTAAAATCTCAAATTCGAAGCGTTATTAGACATTATTAATATAACAAATAATAAATATTGGAATGATTGGGTTTATGTGATTTGCATGTCAATTATTGTTCATGAAAAAATTGGGAACTAATCAAAGCGAAAGTTAGGATTAGGATAAGAGTTCAAATCAGAGCGGTTAAGACGACAGACTCTCAAAGATTTATTATTTATTCGCAATATTTGCCGGAGGCGCCACACTAATAAAACGGAATCTTGCTGGTTAGGTTCCAACCCAATGTATCAGACTTAGGTACGGGTACGATTTGACAGAAATGTTATTTTCAGACATCTCTCCCATTTTTTCACAAAATGTTCTATTATTATTATAAGATTATCCTAAAAAAAACATGCGATTCCAGATATGTTTCTATTTTTCCCGAGATTTTTCCATATGAATGTTTCTCGGTAAAATCCTCCGTTTCATTTCAACATATATATTTCGTATTCCAATCCACCTATTCGATGTTTTTGAATAAAAGTATCTTCATTTTTCAAAATAAAATAATTGGAGATCGGAGAAAAATCCAAATTGTTTGTCTCAATTGAATGGGGAGTGGGTTATGAACCATCAAAAAATTATTGTGACGAACAATGCAAATAGCAAAATAAAACGTGCACATATCTCACGAAATAGTATAGTTATTCAACCAACTATTGTATTAATTTAATATACAAGTTGGTTACAAAATTTTTCCGCCGACTATATTTTTCATTCCTCCTGCAATGAAGAAAACTTGGTTCGCGAATTCATCATTCATCTGGAAACTGCTAAGAATCACCCAGTAGCCTGGTCACTGACACTAGTGACATTTGACATTTGTCGAAATGATCAACATAGAAAATAAATTCCTTGTGTTAGAAAACAGGGAATAAAATCGAGTCATAAACTTGGAAAGGCGAACCCGTTAACAGAAAATCTTCGATGAAATCCATATTTTCGATTTAAATGCAGATTCCGTAAGTTATAGCATAAACAATGAATGCACGCGGTGTATGTTTGGTTGCCTATAAAACAATCATGCATTAATAGACAAATCGTTCATTAATAAGGGTTATTAATGAACGATTTCATATACGTTAAACTTAGTCGTTAATACGAGGTCGACGGAAAAAGTCTCAATTGATGCACATTT